TGATATTTAAGAGATCTTTGCATATGAAGGATAGGAACGCTCTGTGAGTATTCTCTATTGAAAACACTCTTGGTGCCCTCTCTGTTTTCATGCTGGTGCATTTCAATGAGGAAGCCATAACAAGTTTTTAAAGCTAAATTACAAATAAATAACACAGCTCAGTGCTCAAGGGCTGCCCCTGTAATCCAGATCTTGTGTCTGAGGCCACGTAGAGAGCCAGTGGCTGAGGCCCTTGTGTGGGTCTCTGTCTTCTCTTCTGTGATTGTCCCGGCTGCCTCTCAGGCTGGCCCAGACACAGTCTCCTCCAGATGCCTCTGCAGCTGTGGTGGCTGCTGTCCCTGGCCCATGCAGTTTTGTGGGGCAGAGCCCTGGCCAGGGCTGGCCGAGCATTTCCTTAACAAAGAAGATTTCACTTAAACTTGCCACACTCAAGTGGTAAGGAGTCAGGTACTTGTGAAATTCACAGGAAGAGTTATCTCTGGATGCAGAGCTCTGGGCTCTACCAAAAGTTTTACTTACTTAATTGAACTACTGAGGATTGAACCCAACCTAATATCCACAGCTCTTTTACATTTTTTTTTTTAATTTTGAGATAGGGTCTCATTGCCTAGGCTGGGCATGAATTTGTGATCCTCCTGCCTCAGTCTCTAAGAGTGTTGGCTGGGATTATAAGGGAGTCTCCCAAAACTTTAAGGAATAAATAAACTTGACACTGGGGCCCTGTCTGGCTTGACGCTTTCTGAGAAGTCCCTGCCTCCATCTCTGTCTGACAGACTCCTCCGGGTCTGGTCCTTCCACCTCATGGTTTGGGGCACACTGTCCTACGATTGGTCACATGTTGAGCTCTCCTGTGAGGCCAGGCCTGAGGGAAGGACTCTCTGCATGCCAGGCCCTTATGTGAGAATGAACACAGACCAGGAGCGTGTAACAGTTAAAACGAGTTAGGCTTCAGCTTCACCTTCTGTGAAATGGGGTGGGAGAGCTGGACTAAAATCCTGTCTCTGAGATGCTCACTTACTGATGCCTCTCAGTTTGCAAAGCACTTTCTTGAGAATCTTTTTGTGACTCTTTACCATGTCTATGTGATAAAGGTCCCAGAAATACACCCATTTTACAGATGAGCAAACCAAGGTTTAGAGAGACTCTGAGATTCAGGAGAGATTAGAGTTCCCAAAAGCACCACAGGGCACTGTGACTACAGGGGGTTAGATTGAATTGGTGTGGCACCTGGCAGCAGAGTGACTTGGGACATGTCATTCCTTATCTTTGTATCTCAGTTTCTTCATCAGGAATATGGAACTATGAATAGTAACCACCTCGCAAGATTACATTAAAATGAAATGATGTAAAGCAATTAGAAGAGGTTTGTCATGCAGTAATATTAATTAAATATTAAGCTAATATTAATAATTGATTTAACTGACATTAAATGCTAATTATAATTACCTTTTCTTCCTCCTCCTCCCTCTTTCTCCTCTTCCTTCTTTTTCTCCATCCTGTCAGTTTTTGTGTGTGTGGTACTGAGCTACATTCCCATCTCTTTTTAATTTTTAAAAAACATTTTGTTTTGAGATACGGTCTTGCTAAGTTGCTGAGTTGCTCAGCCTGGGCTTGAACTTGTGACTCTCCTGCCTCAGCCTCCCAGAGCTCTGGGATTATAGGCATGGGACACTAAGCCTGGCTTCTCACGGTCATGTCTAGATTACCATGTTGTCTGTACTTGTAACATCCAAACATAAATTGATATGAACTTCTTTACCATTGGTTATTAATGCTCAGATTCTCAGAAAACCCAAAGCCTGCCTCATTTCCTTTGATCCTGCCCCACACGGGTGCAGCCATTGCTGCCTGCTGTAAGCTATGAAGCAGACTCAGCGTCTCAGCCCTAGCCCACCCAGATCGCAGTCCTCGTGGGTGTTTCTTTCGAAGCCTTAGGTTCTGGAATCAGAATCTCTCAGGGTGAAGCTTAGTATCTGCATGTTGAACCAGCTCCCTAGGAAAGTTGATGCACCTCAGAACTTGAGAAGCACCGATCTAGAATTCCAATGTCTAGTCTTTTTTGTTCTTTGTTCAGGTTTCTGGGTCCTTCGCTGTGTGCTGAGTTTTCCTTCCTAAGCAAACATCCATGTGTTTCTGTGAAGCCGCATGTTCTGTGTCAGCACTTGAAGCCAGGAAGCTGGGCAGAGAAGTGAAACTTGGTCTTATTTGTACATGAAAGTCAGGCCATGACAGCAATTGTTCCCATGAAGGGGGCTTGGAGGCTATTATTAGCCACGTAATCCTCTTGTTAAATAAGGCAGATGGTGAAGTGCACTCAGAAACAGATGAAAGTGAGCTATGCTCAGTGCCACAGAAGCAGGGGCTCCGGGCTGCGACTCCCTAAACCTTCCTATGGTTGTTCGAGGGCCTCTAGGAATCTTTAGAGCTCTGTGGGGAGGGCTGAAAACAGCAAATCTACTCCAAGGAGTTAAGAGATCAGATTTCTAGACCTTTTTGGACTCATGTTGCAGCATCTGTGAATGAGGAGGTTGTAAGTTGTATTAGTTAGTTAGGGTGAGCTGCCAGACAAATAGGCCCATGTATGTATAGTGGCTCAAACATGACAGATGTTTCTTATATGGCAGGTATTCTCTTTTCTCTTCTTGCTTTTTGAGATAGAGTTTTGTTATGTTGTCCAGGGCTGGCCTGTATTTATTTGTTTATTGGTACTGGGGATTGAATGCATGGCCTTGTACTTGTCAGGGAGGCAGTGTGCTGGGTGAGCTATCTCCCCAGTCCCCAGGGCTGGTCTTTATCTCCTATGTTCCAGTGATCCTCTGGCCTCAGCTAAAAGGTATGCAGCACCTCACCCAGCTTCAGGCAGGTATTTGTGGATGGAGGTCAGTCTCCTTCCTTGCGAAAATTCTGTGACTCAGCTGGTGGCCCCACCACCTCCTTAGATATTGTGGTTGTCTGAAGCCAACTGGCACTGTGACCACCCTGGCCGAGCAGTCACCGGCATCCCCTCTGCTCAAGTGAAAACCGCACCTGTGAGCAGTCCAGGGATACGGAGCTCTCGCTGAGGATGGCTTCGTTCATGTTCTTGGAGAGTGGATCTCTTAGACAGTGAGCTGTCCCTGCCACAGATAGGGTGACCACGTGGCTTTCTCCCGTTCTTTATCCCAAAATTTTAGTAGCCAGACTTAAAAGGTAGCAAGGGGCGCCCCTCTGTCCTGAAGGTCACCCCTTCTCACGGTACTGAGTAAAACCCCTGCTCAGACCCCCAAGCACAGATCTTTCCTGAATGTGGGCAGCAGCCCTTCTCTTTCCCTTCTGGAAGAAAGAAAATAAGAAAAAGCATTTTCCTGGGTGCACGGCATCGGTGGGGTGGAGGTTTCCTTGTCCATCAGCTAGTTGGATCCTCCTGACTTCAGCACGCTGAAGACAAGGAAATAAAGCTCAGAGAGGCAAAGGGACCTGCTCGGGGTGACACAGCTCAGGAAAGAACTGTGACAGGAGCTCAGAAGAGCCTGTTCCTGTGCCGGGGTCCCAAGTGCCCATTGTGGTGTTTGTTTCGTGTGTGTGTGTGTGTGTGTGTGTGTGTGTGTGTGATCGTGGTCAGCGTAGAGATTTTCTTCAGGCTGGACTTCCCCAGAGCTGGGCATAATAAGGGAAGTAGAGGATCCGGGCCATGCCCGTGTCCCCACGGTGGGCCAGGGTTACAGATTGTAAGGCGGCTGGGTGGCTGCGCCAGCTTGGGAAAGCCCAGTGTGACTAAGCGTCACAGTGATTGGTCAGGAAAAAGAGAAGGGACATTGTGTGTGTCTTGGGTTCCTGGATGAGCTGAGGTGGTGGCTGGGCTGCACACAGAGTGGGCGCTTGGGTAAAATTTCCTGTGTGAACAAACCCACGGCAGAGGGAAAGTCACAGCCACATGAAAAAACTGAGTTGAGTCAGGTCCACTTTCCGTCCTTGGGCTTTTAAAGGAATGGGGTGAGGGGGAGGAAAATTTGTAATCTAAGCTTTTGGTTATTCACTCAACAAACACTTAACTTATTAGCACCTACTATGTGTCAAGCACTCCACAGGGCAAGAATGATGGGGAAAGGTAGGATTCTTATCCCCACAGACCTTCAGAGAAGACATGGGGGTAGTTACATTTGGTCCCATTTTAGAGATGAGGAAAGTGAACCCCTGATTATTGGTTGAGTGACATTCCCAAGTCTCTTGGTGGGATTAGGATTTGGGTTATTATTTCCCAGTGCAGGGTTCTTTCTACCTCACTGCCAGAGTAGGCCTGGGATGAAGGGAAAGAGCTTGTTTCTGGCAGCCATTCTGTGCTCTTTCTGGACTCAGAGCATCTTGGTTTCAGACAATATCAGGAAGTCAGTCCATGTACTTCTCTTCGAAATCTCCAAAAGTTTTGCAGCGATGGCCATAAACTGATTGAGTAGACTTTCTTGAGCAGCTGGGTAGAACCCACGCAAGAATTTTACACTGTGCTATCAAGAGAGGAAACTTAATGACTGAATAGTGTTGGTTGGTAGACTAACGGGGTGATGCTCACATACTTCAGAGCTGGCTTTTCCAGAATTCAGCCCGACTTTGCCCCTTGATTTCCTGCCCTTCCCCTGGCTGCATCTAAGGTTGGGGCGGGGTTAAAGGACCAAATACACGCAAAGCACTGGGTTCCGCACGTGCGCAATTCTGCGAGGCCATTTCTGTGTTACGGAAATCGGGCTTTGGGATTCGCCTCTGCATGATGGGTTGACCCGGGCACCAGTTTTCTGGGCTGGGGAAGGTGCTTTGCGCCAGTCCCTTGTACGTGGGCTGGGGCAGCTGGGGCTCCTCAGCCTGCGGCCTCCCCCACAAGCTCTGGCTGTGCGTGAGGTTCCACAGCTGAGTCAGCAGGGGGTCAGCAGCCATCCAGGCGGAGCAGGAATCAGTTCTGCTTTCTTGGGGACGTAACTTGGGTTCCTGACCCCAGCCCTGGGTCCTGCGGGGGGTAACGTTTGTGCAAGGAGGTGGGGGCGGGGAGATGGATGCAAGAGAGCTGGCGCACTCTTCCTTGCTGGGACTGAGTGACGGGAGGGAGGAGAGTCAAAGGGACAGGGAGTGGAGCAGGGGGCGACCGCGGGCCCTGCAGCCAGGCAGAGCTCGGTTCTGGCCCTGGTTTGGCACGGGCCGCCTTGCAGAACACGGACCAGTCACATAGCCACGTGACCTCTCTGAGCCTCAGTTTCCTTGGCTCAGGGTCACTAACGGTGTCCACTGTGTTCTTTGGCCTGTATCATGCACTCCACTAATGACCTAGGGGATTGCGTAAGGGCAGGGACATGCATAACACACTCATCCTTTGTTATATAAATGTTTGGCCAGTCTGAAGAATGTATGAACTCCTACATGTTAGCTGTAAGAATTTAGGTAGTAAGTGTATTCGTTTTTGGTTGCTGCTAAACCAACAGTTACCACAAATTAAGTGCAAAAGCCATGAATTTATTTTTCCTTAGGTTCATTTCTTATGATACGTATTCTCTTATTTAGTTTTAAAAGATATCAGAAGTGTTAAACCTATTTCACCCGGCTAAAATTAAAGCACAGTTAGGAATAAATTCCTTCTTGGAAGCTCTAGGGGAGAATCAGTCTCTGTGACTTTCCTAGCTTTTGCGGGCTGCTCGTATTCCTTGGCTCGTGGTCCCCTCCCCACTTCCAAAGCCAGGTCCAGGGCAGAGTTCTTCTCAGGATGTGCCACTCTGGCCCCTGCCTCCCTTTTTCATTCATAAAGACCTGTGTGATTACTTGGGATCAGCTGGTTAATCCGTGTAATCTCCTCACCTCAAGATGCCTGATTTGATGACATCTGCAATGTCATCTATGGCCTTCTTTTGCCATAGAAGGCCTCTGTATGAGTTGCTTTCTTGTCATTGTGACAAAATAGCCAACACTCATAATTTAGCGGAGGAGAGCTCTATGCTGGCTCATGGATTTTAGAGGATCCAGCTCACAGTTGACTGGCTCCGAGACAGGAAGGGCACGGGTGTAGGAGAGGGACACTGCTCATGTCATGGTGGGTAGGAAGCAGAGAGTGAAGTCAGGGCCCGGGGAAGGGTATGCACGCTTCTAGGCCGCCCTAGTGAGCTACCACCAACCCGGCCCACCTGCTAACAGCAAGCCAGCCAGCTATAGGCTCCTGATCCAGTCCCTTCCCAAACTCCATGTCTGAATGCACGAGGCTTTGGAGGGGCCATGCTAGATCTAAACCCTAGATTACCGCGGTCAGAATGTGGGCATCTTCGTGGGTCTGTTACTCTGCCTCCATGGGAAGGGACATTTCAAACTCTGCAGCGTGCCTGTTTGTCTTCTGAATTTGCACTTGAGAGTTCAGATGGCCATTCTTCTACTTATCAGCTCAGCAGTTCTCTGAGCATCAGAAGGGATGGGGGGGAACCACCAGCGAGGCTGTCCAGGGCCGACCGAGTGGTTACCAGGCTGGACCCAGACTTCAGTATTGTTTTGACTGGGTTCAGACCCCTGCTTTACCACACAGGAGCTGCCAGCCAAGCAGATGAGTTCCCTGGGCTATGCAAATCCCCCTCTATCATGAGGATAGAAGGGGACAGCCAGAATCTAGTGCCTGGCACCTGGTGGAAGCTCAGCAGGACACGTGAACCACGAGGCCATGCGATTCCCAGCTTGGGCCCTTCTGTCTCCAGCATGAGTGACTTCCCAACAGGAGACCCTCCTGTTTCTGCCCCGGGCTGGGAGCAAGGCTGGTGTGGCTCTAGAGCTGCCAGGAGCTGAAGTCCCTGGAGGGTTCATTGTTGTGCAGGTGTGTGCCAACCAGATTGCGGTGACAGCTGTCCAGCCGGCACTGTGCTCTCTCTGGAAGCTACTCAGGATCCTGAGAAGGTAGCTCAGGATGGATCGATCACTGCTGTCTCCTCACTGTAACAGCCTGCTGTTCGCTGTTCTGCTAGCAATGTGCCTCAGTTTCCCTCCTAAGTGTCCTTTGCTGCTACTGATTGTTCCACTCCCCCTTGGCATGCTTTATTTAAATACTAAGAGGGGACCAGATCATCAAATCATTTCCTCCCATCAGGGTCTGTCCTGGGTCCCTTATAGGCCTCTGAATTCTCTTTGAGGCTGGATTGACCCCCTCTCCGTGTGGAACCTTCATCTCCATCAGGCCTCAGAGGAGCCCCAAATGTCACAGCTTGAAGTGACTTAATTTGTTCATGATTCTGTAACACGTGGAGTTCTGCAGGGACCCCTCATCTCCGGCCCGTGCAGTGTTGTTACATCACCGTGGGCTGTGTTCAGTCTGGGGCTCACCTGGGCCAGGCCCACTGAAGATGGGGTGGCGTCCTGGGAGTGTTGTCTCTCTCCAAGCAACTGCTGGACTTCACTCCCTAGAAGCTTGGGACTGCAAAAATAGAAGCTGCCAGGTCTCTTGAGAGCTAGACCAGGGACTAGTACAGAGTCTCTTCTGTGATTTCTTGCCTGCAGTGGAAGGTCACCAGGCCAGCCCAGTTTTAAGGAGAGGGGAAATAGAGCTCACCTCTTGATAAGAGGAGCGATGTGTATTTTGGGGGAAGGAGGCTCTATGAGGTCCTGCTGGTTTCCCAGCTTCTTGGAAAATATGAAATGTTAGAGCAGGGCCAAGAATACAGTGTGAACAGATAACGGCCAGCTTTCCAGGACAGGAGGAGGCCTGGGGCCCAACCTGAGAGCCATGGTCACCCCAAGGTCACAGGGAGTGAAGCAACCCCCAGCCAGCTGGTCCCACCACCGCTTCCTGTCCTGAGTCCTGTTTCTGATTTCCTTTGCATTCGAGGGTTCTCATGGGGTGCGGGCGGGAAAGCTGTGAAAAAAAAAAGCCCATGTCGCCAGCAAGGTTGGGGAGTCGAGGTCCCCGCCCAGGCCCTGCCACGGTTTTGGGCCAAAGCAGGAAATGGAAAGGAAGTGCTTGCGGCCAAACTAGGCCACTGGCATTGTCCACAACCAACTTTTCTTGGCTTTTCACGGCTCAGGATTTCTGGTCCCCTCTGTCAGGCTGGCCCCCTCACACAGAGGCCACATTTTATTTCTGAGCCCAACCCTGGGCCGGGGGTAAGTGATTTTTCCTGTGTCACAGCCAGCGAGTGGCAGAAATGGGTTTCAAAAGGGGTCTGTGGAGTGAGCAGGCCACCTCTTCTGCCCAAGGGGTGGACATCGCCTTCTCAGGAAAAGGAAGCCCTTTTTCTTCCTGATCTAAATCCTTGACAGAGCAGAGGCATCCTGTGAGTCAAGTCTGTCAGAAAGGAGACTAGAAGAATTGCCCACATTCCCCGAAGACTGGCCCCTGACACCAGCCCTCCCAGTCCCCCACGCTGGCCGTGTCCAGGCTGGGCTCCTGTCCAGTCCCACTTCCTGCCACCAAGGTTGCGCTCCAGGCCACTCACACCTTGGCCCAGTCCTTGCAGGCTGTTTATAAAATGGTACACACCCTCTGGCTTCTTGTCCACGCGTGGGGAGGGTGGGAAGTGGGGCGCAGACTTCTGCCTCACTGCCAGGAAAACTGGGGACCAGAGAGCGAGGGACATTCATTCCCTAATCATGCGGTCCTTATTAGCTCAATAAAGACTGTCACCGTCTATCAGCTCCAGCAATTTGCTCTCCAGTGGGGCCTGTAGGGAAAATGATTCATCCGGGAGTTGGGGAGACCTGTGTTTGAATCCTGGGCCTCTCATTTCCAGTTGGGTCACCTTAGATCTCTCTCTCTCTCTCTCTTTCTCTCTCTCTCTCTTCTTCCTTGAGTTTCCTCACTTTTAAATCAGAAGGGATGATAGACCTCCTTTCTTGAGTTACGTGGTGAGAATTAAATGAGATAAACCATTAGAAAAATGTGACAGTGGGATAGCACTTAGTAGGTCCTTTGTCTGTGGAGCCTGCCTCAACCTTCTGAGCGTTAAAGCTAAAAACGACACACATGAGGCCCTCGGGAAATGCTTTCTACAATGAGATGGAGTCTGCTAACCGCCCCCACCTTCCTGCAACCCCTTTCCCTTACCAGCCCTGTTGTGCTGAGACTGAGCTCAGAGAGGTTGGCTGATTCCCTGCAGCCAAACAGCTTCGCTATTCTTATTTCCCAGTAAATCCTGTCCTCCAGGGTGGGCACTGCCCTTCTGCTCTGCAATTTTTAGAGCATTTTCTCTGTGCTCTGCCTCTGATCCTCCCTGCACCAACGTTTCCTGGGACTGTGTATCCACCTCAGGCCCTGTTCCCGCAGGAGCTTGTTCCCATTCAGCAGAAAGCAGACACACTGAGGTGTGTGCAGCTGATGGTCGCAATGTTAAAGATGTTGGACGCAGGTGAGGGGAGGCTTTAGGTCTGGGATCTTCCTGGAGGCCAGAGAGAACAACCTCCTCTGCTTCAAGGTTTTGAGGGCCGAAAGTTCCTGGCTGAGGTCCCCAGGAGAAGTCTGAGTTCCAACTTCCTCACGCCTCTCCAGCCCCTCTCTGTTCCTTCCCTTTACTGTACACTGAGCAGTTGGAACAGGGACAGTTTTTTTAATGTGACAAAACTGGACATCAGCAGAGTCAGACTAGGGAGACAAGAGTCACTGTCTTGGCCTGCCTGTCTGTCCACTGCCTGCTGACCGTCAGCCTTTCTCGGTCAGAAAGTGGCACCGAAGTGGCTATTCCAGCTGCATCTGTGTTCTGAATGAGAGCCTGGGGTCCCTGTCACTCTTGGCTGAATGGGCAACGCTGCTTTTCAGGGCCAGGCGGCCCTGCCTCCCATGCATGGACCCTGGAAGTGGACAGAGGAGAGGGTGGAGCGCCAGGCCTGGTGTGGAGGAAAAGAGCGTCGCCAGGTGTGTCTGGAAGGGCAGGATGGCTTGGTTCCAAACTCCTTGACTTTTGTCAAGATGGCCTTGTTTTCCTCTTCTGTCAAATGGAAGTGAGACCAGTGCTTCCTCTCGGGCATGAGGTCAGGGCTGTTATGGGAAAGAAAATTTTTAAAAATTTCTTAATTGTTTTGATATTTGCCGTAATAAGTTATGTAAAGCGAAGAAATTGGCCGCCGATTGGAGACACAGGCCTGTAATTTTAGCACTCTGGGAAGCTGAGGTAGGAGAGTTACAAGTTCAAGCCCAGCCAGAGTACTTTAGCAAGACCGTGTCTCAAAGTGAAAACAAAACAAAACAAAAGGGCTGGCTGGAGATGTAGTTCAGGGACAGCCTGGGGTTCGAAGCCCAGCACTGAGGGGCGGGGGAAGCCAAGAAACCGGAGCTGGGAGGTGGGACTTGGTCAGGGATGCAGGCTGCTCCCAGGGACGTCCAGGAATGCTATGGACTCTCACAGACACAGTCACAGCTACTTGGTTATCGGCTGTCCTTTGCCTTGCCCTTGGTCTTGCTGTGTCTGGGTAAGAAGCTCCTCGATTGCTCACACCCTGGGGCGCTCTGGACAATTTGCTTCCTCTTTGGGAGGTAAGTTCCTAAAAACTGGGGGTGCTGCCTGGCACTCTCAGGGTGGGAAGTAGCAGTGATGAAACAGGATCCTGGCTCCAGGCTGGCCTCAGACAGATTTCTGTGACCACCCATAGGGCCTGTCTGGGCCTCCCCTGGGGTGTCACTTGGAAATGGTGCAGACATCTCTAGATCATCAGTTCCTTAGTGGGGTTCAAAGCTTTGGGGTTCCTGGCTATCCCCCAGACCCAAGACACAGAGTGCTGTATGATGCTGGGTTGGAGGCCAGCGGCCAGCTGCCTGGTGTCTGGTCCTGTCTTCCAGGGCACCTGCTGTTCTCCTGATTCCTCCGTCTCCTTCCCTCCCTCCTCCCCTCCTCTCTCCTCCCTTTCCAGTTCCTTCCTTCCTTCCTTCCTTCCTTCCTTCCTTCCTTCCTTCCTTTCACCGTTCCAAAGCCAGTGCTCTGGACCAGCTGTGATTTTCCAGAGGTTGAATGGAGCATCTCTGGGCAAAACCAAGCACAACCCTGTCCCCAGTGGAGGTGTCCTGGAGGCCTCCAGTGCCCGATGGTTCTTGGTGGCCTCTTCCCTCTGGGAGCTAGCTGTGATCAGACTGTGTCCGGACCCTGGAGGAGGTGTCTCTGCTGTGTAGGACACGTGTGTCTACAGCTCACCACACCCGTACTCAGCACGTCATGGTTATTAAAAAAAATAAACCACTCATGAGGGATTTAATAAGATCCCCACAGTACAGGGGCACCCGCCCCATACCTTAGGAAACAGAATCTGGGAGCATTGTCTGAAGACCTCTCTTTCCTTTGGGGAAAACCAAATTTTCACTAAACTTATTTTCAAGTCATGAGTTCTATTTTTAAAACATAACAGTTATTTTGGGAACATACGCTATAAAAACAAAGGTTTAGAATTTTGCATTCAGCACCAATAATACCCCTGAGTATATTTCAACAAGATTACCATGTCTTAGAAGCCTTTGGGTCAACTCTAGTGAAGGGCAGAGGCTGGTACTGATCTCCTGTCTGTGTGGTTCAGGTGGAAAAATTTAGGGTAGAGAATCTGTGGATTTTCAGGAGCATAGAGAGGCGAAGTAACTTGCCAAACATCACACAGCTGGTGAATGGATGAGCCAGGGTTTGAACCCAGGCAGCCTTAATCACAGCTTTTGGAAACGTGCCACCTTGGTGAGCCCTAAGCCTATCTGTCCCCCTCCATCTGCAGGCAGGCATGTTTCCTGGCCAAAGACACCTTTTCTTCCAGAGCCTGGGCACCTGGAGCTAGACAAGAATGAATAAAAGAACATTTTTTGAAGCCTTATGATGGCCTCTGACTTGGACTCCTGTTTTAACCCAGCTGCCCCGTAGCGGAGCCTGAGGCAGGGGTTTGGATGAATCTGGTATACTGAAGACAGGCTCTCAGGCAGGGTTGGGATGCAAATGAGGTGACTGAGGTCAGCTCATGCCTGGGCAGGATTGGACTTCATCTTATTTAAAATGTTAAGATTTTGCTCATCATGAATTTTTGTATTAATTTTAACTTTTAAAAATCTTATTTATTTTTGAGTTTTGGGGCACTCCCCAAATTTATGAACATTCCCTTTCCCCAGTTTTAGCTCTGCTCTAAGCAGATGGGGAATATTTTTGTCTGTTGCCAGTTGCTGCTAATAAACAGCACCAGAGTCTGGGTACATTGTAGAGAAAAAGAGATTTATTTTGGCTCATGATTCTGGTTAAAGGTCAAGGGGCTGCATCTGGAGATGGCCATCAGTGCTTGGCAGGGTCCCCAGCAGCTCAGGGCACAGGACAGGGTGTGTGTAAGAAGCCGTGCAAACAGGCTTTTATGACAGACGCACTCTGCAGCCGAACCACTAACTCATTAACCCACAATCCCACAAATGGATTCACACACTCAGGGGGTGGAGCCTTAGCCACCACTTAAAGATGCCACCTGTCAGTATTATAATGAGGAATGAGTTAGAGCTGGAGGTTTGCAAAGACCACACCATCATCAAACCACAGCAGGGAGGGTGGAAGGAGCCGAGCAAGCCCGTGCCTCGGTGGGGACGGCCTCATTGGTGGCCCTGGGATGTGGCTTGTACCCCGTACCGGTGAGGGACAGGCTGAGGGCTGGTCTCAGGAGAGGGAAGCTGTGAGCCAATGCAGGTGTTGGAGGGGGGCCCTAGTTCATGAACAGGCTCCGCCCTGGACACCAACCCCATCCACCACCAGGCCCTGTGTTGTATATGGCTGGCAGGCTGGGTTGCTTCATGTTTTGTTGTTTTGTTTATTAGTAGATGTTTGGGATACAAAATAAGGGTATGCATCATGGAGAATTTGTATCTATAAATATTGCATCTTGGTCATTTTGACTTCCCTCTCTCATTTCTCCCCATCCTCAGATACCCTTGTTAGCTCCACAAAACCTGTGTCCCTGTGTCTTTCATTTGGGTCTTCCAATTATTTATACTTTGAATACTTATACTTTTTTTTTTTAATCGGTATCCAGGATCGAACTCACGACTGCCTGCTTGCAAGGCAGGTTCTTATGCCGCTGAGCTAAATCCCCAGCCCCCAATACTTATACTTTTATAAATATTTTATTTACACCTTCTCAAATAAGAGAAATCATGCAGTATTTAACCTTCTGAATCTGACGTATTTCACTAAGCACTATGGTCTCAAGATGCGTTCGTTTCTCTACAAATGACTCTGAGTTATCCTTCTTTATGGCTGAGAAGTATTGCGTTGTGTATAAACACCCACATTTTCTTTATCCAGCCGTTGGTGGGCATACAGGCTGCTTCCAAGGTTGGACGGTGTTTCTTTAAACAGGACCTCGCTGGAGCTGCGGGGATCTTGGAGCTTCTTACAGGGTGCAGGAAGGAGATGGGCAGTGGGCGGAGCCAGTGGGTGTGGGCGGAGCCAGGCAGTTACAGGCAGGAGGGGGTGGAGCTTATGGGGAGGCCAAAGCCCTGAGGATGGAGGGAGAAAAAAAAGAGGGCTTTTCCCCTGGGGGACCCTGCACATGTGAGGGTCTTGCGAGGCTGGCTGGTGCCTTGGCCTGGCAGGGAAGGGGTGCTGGGGTTAGTTCTGTGTCGCAGTTGCCTGGAGGGGTTAGGTGTCCCAGTGGATTTCAGGAGAGCAAACTGCAAGCTTTCCTGTTGCCCACCTCCTAGAGCCCGGGCCGGGAGGCACAGGCCTCCTCCCTATCCCAGCCTTTCCTTGAGGATTTGGGGGGACACCAGGGTCCATAAGCTCTTGCTAGAACTCCACCTCTGCTCCACACCGTGCCTGCGTTTCCGCCATGGATCCCAGCAGCATCTCAAGTTTGAGCCCAAACTGGCAATTTAGAGACTTAGACTCTTCGTCAAAACAAAAAGTGAAGTGGGCGGAGTCTCTAGCCCAGAGTGAAGGCCCTGGGTTCGGGGTCTTCAGCGTCTCTTCCTCCTGCATCACCAGGGACACCACCGCACAACCTTAAACCCCGCTCAGGGCTGAGTTGCTTCTCCTTCTGCAGGGAGAATGAATGCGCACAGGTCTTGTGCCTGGGTGACTGCCCCAGTCTGAAATGTCAGCAGCCCTGTTCCTCCTGCCCTGAGCTTTTCTTCTGTCAAGCAGGGCCTCCCCTGACCTGGCAGCTGGAGCTGCCATCTTCCCCGCACCCAGGGCTTGCTGTGCCGGCTTCCTGTGTGTTTCCCCAGCCTGGCTTCGGGTTTCCATAGGCAGGATCTACATGTTTGTATTTATCCAGCTCCTGTCCTGACGCCTGTCAGGTAACTGGTGGTCAGTTGAGGTTTAGTCAGTGTCTGAATGAGGAATATGTTATCTGTCATCCGATATTTATACCTCACTGTGAAAGAACCTTTGGGAGGAAGCTTTTAAAATTCATTCCCTTAGGACTGTACCACAGTCATGTCTGACGTAATGTCATATAATAAAAAGACTCATGATCATACTTAATTGCAGTAATAATAGTGATATCATTTAACCTGTTGAAGATTTATTATGGTCCATGCACCATTGTTTTATATTCTTCCTCTTATTATATCTTAGTATCAGCTCTATGAAGTACATACTCTTGGTGCTCCATTTTACAGATAGGGAGACAGAGGCCATACAGCAGACCTGACATTTGAACTTGGGCATCTGGCTCCAGAGTCTATACCCTTAATCACCCCACCTTGACAGTAGCCCTGGTTTCAAGTCCTGGCTTCTCCATGTTCAAGCTGTGTGACCCTGGATAGATTGCTTGACTCCTCTGCGATTTTCTTTCTTTATCTGTGAGCTGCATGGGGAGGTGGTTAGCAGGGCAATCTGGAGGCAAAGGGAGAGAGCAGGAGAGCCTCAGGTTTGACTGCTGTGGTTCCCAAAGCTCAGCAGGGCAGCAGTT